GCGTGTCACTTCTTCTTTAGTCTGATAATGTGGTTAGGCTGTATGCACAAAATATATGGCCAACAGAAGAAATGAAGATAAGACCCAGAGGCAGTGGCTTTATTTATGGTATTATATGAAGGTATTTATATAGCGCTGACACTTTACGCAACACTTTACATACTGTACATCAGTCCCTGCCCTCAAAGAGCTTACAGTCTAAGATCTCACGTGCATGCATACACGCGCACACACACACATACTAGGGCCAATTTAGACAGGAGCCAATTAACCTGCCAGCATGCCTTTGGAGTGTTTGAGGAAACCGGAGCACCCAGAGGAGACCCATACAAGCACAGGGAGAACATCCAAACTCAATGCAATAGTGTCCTTACCGGGATTCGAGCCAGAGACCCCCAGTGCACCATAAAAGTGCTAACCACCAAGCCACTGTGCTGCCCCCAGCATGTTTTTTAATGTTATGCCTTTGGGGTTGTCTTTTGCCTATTAAAGTTGATCTGCACACAACTTTTTAGCTTAAAGCAGGGGTGGCCAAACTTTGATCCTCCAGCTGTTGTGCAACTACAACTCCAAAAAAGCATTGCAATCCTTTGACAGCCACAGGCATGCCTTCCAGAGGCATATGTATGATGGACTTTGTAGTTTCACCACAGATTGGGGGCTGAGGTTTGGCTAATCCTGGCCTAAAGTTTAAACTAACTTTCTTTTTTTTGCAAAGTGTACGGAATGGTTACCAATGTTCAGTGCTACTTGTGTTCCCCTTGAGTAGATTTATATTTCTGTTTTAACACCCATTACTTGGACAGTAATGAGGGGAATGCTTCTTCATGGAGCCACAGGCAACAAAGTCTTATACAGAGGTTCTAAACTTTCATCAGTCTATTAAAACATTTGTATTTGTGCCGCTTGTAACCCTTTGGGGAGATTTCCCCTTGCTTTTTCTGTCTGAGATCTGTCAAAGGACAGGAAATGGGGAAATGTCCTTGCTTGTTGTACCACCTTCTGGAATCACAACCCTTTGTCCCTCTTTCCTCTTAGTTGTCACTCTTTTTGGTCTGACGTTTTGACATCTAAAAAAATAAATAAATAAATGACTAACCAGAAACAGTATTGCTGTAGGGGGAAGGGTGGCATGCCATGTTTGTTAATCCATGTTTATGTTAGTGTTTGACTGTGAGGATGTGTTATTTAAGGTGATTGCATACAATGCAGAAGGAAAAAGTGGTCCAAGTGAAGTTGTGGAATTTGTAACATGTCCAGACAAGCCAGGACCACCGCCAAAACCTTCAGTCAAAGGAAAGGTTCATGCACAGAGTTTCCGCATTGTTTGGGGTAAGTTTTGCGGGTATTGTATTGTTTATAATCAAGTTTGGAAACATAAACGCCCACATGCACAAATGTGTGGCTGGACTTAAATGAAGCATTTTAGTGTATACTTCAAACTTTTTTGTTCTGTCAATGAATCATTCCCACAGCAACTTGCTAACTGGAGGAATATCCTTGTTTGGTGGATGAGTGATGAGGAGATGGCTTCCTCTGGGAGGTTAAATAGGGCTGTCAAGCTGTTATCACTGGAAAAAAGAAAATAGCACTGGGCTTCAAACTCAAAAATTATATTCCTAAAATGTGAAAAAAATAGTATGAAATGTGAAATTGTCACACAGTGATAAACAATTTTGTCTCATACACAACACCTGTGTTGCACTATGCCTGTGCTGATGATGGTAAGAAAAAGCTCTAGGTCTAATGGTCTAGACACTATAAACCATAATAAACATGGGGGAAGCTGTTATCACTGCCTGCAATAATGCTGGCCACCACTGGAGGCAGAATCACCGAATTTACACACACAGGCAGATATAAATCTTGAATACCATCTGTCACACTCTAAGGCAGGGGTGCCCGTTAGGTTGATCGCAATCTACCAGTCGATCGCAAAGCGAACACTGGTAGATCGCAATCGGCTCACTGACCTGTGTCATGTCATCCCGCGGTGCTCGTGCGCTGAATCGGTCAGACGCCGTAGACGGGAAGGGGCAGGACACCTCTCCCCGTGTGCAACTTCAGCCACACGAGCACCGCGCAAGGGCAGGCGCACGAGAGGGGACCTGGGAAGCTGCTGCAGTGGAGGTAAGAAAAGACAGACAGGAGAGAGGGGAGACGGCAGATGGAGAGAGAGGGGAGACGGCAGATGGAGAGAGAGGGGAGACGGCAGATGGAGAGAGAGGGGAGACGGCAGATGGAGAGAGAGGGGAGACGGCAGATGGAGAGAGAGGGGAGACGGCAGATGGAAGATGGACGGAGGGGGTAGACTGCAGATGGACGGAGGGGGTAGACGGCAGATGGACGGAGGGGGTAGACGGCAGATGGAGAGAGAGGGGAGACGGCAGAGAGAGGTATGAGCAAGCTCAAACTTGCAATTCCGTGTGGTGTTAGCGAGCACAGAAGTGCACATCAGCGCAGTGTCATCAGCTACAAGAATACACATTGTTGCGGGGTCAGTGAGTGCAAATGTGCACACGTTAGTTAACGTTGGTTAAGATCCAACCATTGCCTTAAAGGAGAACTGTGGGTTTAGGGCTTTCCCCCATAGTTCTCCTTAGGGCAACGGGAGGACACAAACTAGCGTCCTCCTGTCACCCTAAGCTCCGTATACCGCGAGCTACAGCTCGCGGTATACTGAGACGCCGCAGTATACCGCGAGGGGCAGCTCGCGGTATACTGAGACGCTGAAGCGGATCCCGACAATTATGTCTGGATCCGCCCAGCTGCGTGAGTGACAGCTGGCTCTGCCTATCTAGAGGCAGAGCCAGCTGTACCCTCCCCCGTCCGTTCCGCCAGTCAGCGCTGGAGGATCGGAGGGGGGAATCCAGCCCCTCCCCTGTCACGGCAGAGAGCTGTGACAGGATCGAGAAGTGAGCGAACGCCGGTATGTGTTCGCTTACTTCCCGATCTAATGAGCCGACCTGTGACAGTCTCATTGTCACAGGTCGGCTAGAACTATGAGGTGAGTGAAAAGCACTCACCTCATAGTCCTCCTTTTAAGTGTATGGCATAGCAAAAAAAATATTCAAGATTTAGTTTTTGCCTTTTCTTCTTTGTCACCTCTTTTCCTCTTGCATAGTCACTGCAGAAGGAGGAGCAGGGTGATGCACAGAATTCACATTACCGACCCTTCTGTGTTTACTATGTGAGGATTTCTCAGTGGTGTATATAGTAGATAAGATCTCTTGTCGTGTTCCTTATCTAATCATGTTGTTGCTTATCAATTTATAGCTGACTACTTAAACCTCATTACCTGTAAAGACCGTATTTATCATTCGCAGCAAGCTTACTTTATATTTAATCTGATTAGATCCACCGAAAGATGATGGAGGAGCACCAATTACTAAGTACGTTGTGGAAATGTCTGAAGATCGCAATGGTAATTACTTCGACAGTTCTTTATAGCAGTATCCCACATTAAACTAAAAAAAAATGTGCTGCAGGGAGTTGGGTAACAACTGCAGTGATGGTGCAGCGTTTTGCTGGTGTCGTCATGTAGTAGCACATGCCACCATCCTGTCTTGCTTCATTTTTCGAAACAAAGTGCATTTATTCTTATTTCCCTTTTAACATTATCCCACATTAACATTATCCCACATTCCCCCTGCACAGATGCATACTAAGCAAGTTCCAACCGTCCCTACCTCCATTGTCTGTTGACATCCTGCACAGTACATCCCCATTGACTTCTATGGAGCTCCTCTCTCAGCCAAGAGACAGAGTTAGAAGAGCCCACAGAAGTCCGAGGGGATGTGCTGCACAGGCTCAGCCGGGAAAAGCAGAAGTCTGCTGCAGAATCTAAACAGACAGCAGAGGCCGGGTCCGTCAGAACTCGGTAAGTATGCATCTGTGCAGGGGGAGGGTTAGGTAATCTTAAAGGGGCCACAAAGATTGATACAAATTCCACTTATCCTTCAGTTACTTTTCTAATATGTTCACAAGTTAACTTTCTGGGTTTTCGAAAGCAGTAGCACACCAGAAACTGTTATCTTTCAGACTCTTTCTAACTAAAACTCCATATAGCCCCATATAAATCAGTCAGGTAGGCAGAGGGGGGAGGGTTGGTGGATTGGATCACTGTGCTGACTTATTCAATTGGGTGTGTAGTTTGAGCTACTGAGATCTGTAAATCGGCTTTTCAGTTAACAATGTTGTAAGCATAAAATAGAAGCCTGCAGCTCCTTCTGTTTGCTGGAAATGTAAATATGAAATACTCATAATCCTGAACATAATTTAAAACACACACACTCACACACTCACACTTATTCTCAATAAACAGCATTATTGTCATGGCACCTCCTCTTTTTATCAATGGGTATGGGTTTGATACCACACATTGCTTGTCACTTATATGTACAGATAACAGCTTTCTGTACTGGCTCTTTCAGCATAGTGATCTGAGATACCATTGTAGTACCACTTATTGTAAAATGCTAACAGACCATCCAGTGCTATTCAGTGTGTTATCAGCTGTGTTAATAAGCCACATGGGCTTCTTTCTTCTTTGTGTAGAGTACACCTTTTTGTAAGGTTTTTATTTCAGTTACTCCGTCAGCTCTGATCAATGAATTTCTGCTGGTTAGTTAATTAAATTGATTCCAGGAAGCTTTGATGTCTTGCTTTAAATCTATCACAGAGAACCATAAGTGATTCTAGGAACTGAAGACAGAAATATAACAATCATTAACCGGCCCCGATCTAATCTTTCAGGAAGCAAGTGGGACATTGTTTACAGCGGGACAGCGAAGGAGCATCTGTGTGACCACTTGAGCCCAGGCTGTTCATATTGGCTTCATGTTTACTGCATCAATGAAGGTGGACAGAGTCAGGTAATGATTCTTAAATTCATTAAACGCAGGCATAAGATTGGCTGAGTTCATAAATGTCTAGATCTGATAACAGTCAGGGTGTCTTCAGGGCACACCTTTGCTATATTTCACCAAGAAGTAACAAGCTAATGGCTGAGCTGGACTTGTTTCAGCCCATAAGGTTTCTTTCAGTTAACATATAATAGAAAATGAGTAGGCATTTTTATATGGTACTTGTTCAAGTGAAGTATTCAGCCATCCTATTAATGTTAACTTTTGATCACTCCATGCTATGGAGCATTGTGACTGTAGTGGATTATTGAATTATTGAGTCAGCTGTAGAATGATGGGACTGTGCCACTAGCCTGTCTAAGATGCTGCTCTCTTTAAAGTGCACCTGCCTGTGCTCAGTCTATGGACATTATTCTCTTTACATATTCTAAGCAAGTGGTTATAGAGCTTTAAAACAATCCCTCACTCACCTATGTCACCTAGCTGCTTGTAGTGTCAAGTAATTCATTTTCAAAAATCGCATAACTCTCTAAAATCCATTACAGTTGGTTTCTAACTGCTTAAAAAAACACCTACTGTGTGTTCACTTTTGAGGGTGGCAGTCTATCAAGATCTGCTGTCATAGGAAGAAGCTGAGATTTAAGTGTCTGTGTTTTAATTTCTCCACAATGACTATATACTTTCAGCGGTGTAAGAGGGTTTGCATTGAAGTCCTGCTTTATGGCTTGTTCAGAATATTGAAATACTTTAGTACATAGTCTGAGCACAGGTTCACTTTAAAAGATTTGCCGATACATGTATTTGGTCACATCCTGCACATACATGCGAATGTGGACATTGAGTAGTGGGGTGTCTGTTCAATATTTTTAATTTATTAGTCTGTTTCTGCTTGGTGTGAAAATATTTTCTACATGACCTTTTTAAAGGGTATTAATATCCCTCTTAAACTTAATTTGGAAAAGATAAGGTGGCAAATACTGCTGGATTTAGTTAATACTCATAGGGGGGAATTCATCAAAACTGAAGAAGACAAAATCTGGAGCAGTTGCCAAATTCATTCAGCTTCTCTCTTCTGTTTGTTCAGTTAAGCTTTGAAAACTAAAGATAAAAGCTGATTGGTTACTATCCACAACTGTTCCAGATTTTGCTCTAGTTTTGATAAATTCCCCTCACACTATTTATGGCTCTTTTTTTTGTTGTTGCAGTCCTTCTATCAGTGATGTACATTTCACTATAAGAGCTTTTACAGCTTCTTGCTAGCAAAGACACATGCATCTGCTAATTACTGGTGCTAGAACTCACATACACAATCCATTTCATGAATTTGTTAACAGGCATGGTGACATGGGGGGACAGGACATCTAGAGCAGCCAGACTGCAGGTGATGTAGAATGGCTCTTGGTGCATAGTTAATCTTGCATCTCCATCATTCAGTTATCTATATACAGATTACAATGTGGTATTGCTGGCTGTGTTATTATAATAACAAAATTATATATGCTGAGATTTCACTTAAGGCCTGACAACTTTGCACCTAAATGTCAGTTAAGGATATTGCATTACAAAGTATTGGTTTCTTCATCACCCAAATTAACAGAATATAGTATATGAAAATAATATATGGTCTACAGCTATGAATATTTGTGACATGTCAGATATTCTCTTTTATCAACCAATATTTCTTTTGTTTTCAGCAATTGTTAGGACAAGCAGTGTATCTGTGTAGTCAATATTTGTCTTTTTTTTTTCCAGTCTTCAGAGAGTTTAATGGTGCAGACCCCAGCTGTGTTCCCTGGTCCTTGCCAACCACCCAGGCTCCAAGGCAGACCTCGGGCAAGAGAAGTGCAATTGCGATGGGGTAATGTTTGGAAAATGTTTTTCCACTTCTCTATGCAATATTAACACCAATGGTGTCATAAATTCCGTCCTTGTTCTGGAGACTTTGGGTTCTATTTATAAACAATTTGCAGGGCCATTCACCCTGCGCATATCTGTGAACATTTGTTTTGTGTGAATAATGGCAACAATGAACAGTTGTGATATTTACTTTTCAGGTAGGATGTATTGTGATTTTAATACTGCAGTATAGTCACTAGATGGAGCATAGGACGTAGAAATACTAAGATGGAGCTGAGCAGCATAGGACATAGATACTTAGAAATACTGAGATGGAGCTGAGAAGTATAGGACATAGATACGTAGAAATACTGAGATGGAGCTGAGAAGAATAGGGCTTAGATACTTAGAAATACTTAGATAGAGCTGAGAAGAATAGGACATAGGTACTTAGAAATACTGAGATGGAGCTGAGAAGAATAGGACATAGATACGTAGAAATACTGAGATGGAGCTGAGAAGAATAGGACATAGATATATAGAAATACTGAGATGTAGCTGAGAAGAATAGGACATAGATATATAGAAATACTGCGATGGAACTGAGAAGAATAGGACATAGATACGCAGAAATACTAAGATGGAGCTGAGAAGAATAGGACGTAGATACTTAGACATACTAAGATGGAGCTGAGGAGCATAGGAAAGAATAGGACATAGGTACTTAGAAATACTGAGATGGAGCTGAGAAGAATAGGACATAGATACGTAGAAATACTGAGATGGAGCTGAGAAGAATAGGACATAGATATATAGAAATACTGAGATGGAGCTGAGAAGAATAGGACATAGATACGTAGAAATACTGAGATGGAGCTGAGAAGAATAGGCCATAGATATGTAGAAATACTGAGATAGAGCTGAGAAGAATAGGACATAGATACGTAGAAATACTGAGATGGAGCTGAGAAGAATAGGACATAGATACGTAGAAATACTGAGATGGAGCTGAGAAGAATAGGACATAGATACGTAGAAATACTGAGATGGAGCTGAGAAGAATAGGACATAGATACGTAGAAATACTGAGATGGAGCTGAGAAGAATAGGACATAGATATATAGAAATACTGAGATGTAGCTGAGAAGAATAGGACATAGATATATAGAAATACTGAGATGGAACTGAGAAGAATAGGACATAGATACGTAGAAATACTAAGATGGAGCTGAGAAGAATAGGACGTAGATACTTAGACATACTAAGATGGAGCTGAGGAGCATAGGAGATAAACATACTAAGATGGAGCTGAGAAGAATAGGACATAAGTACATAGAAATACTAAGATAGAGCTGAGCAGCATAGCACATAGATACTTGGACATACTAAGATAGCTATGTGCACGTATTGCATATTTTGATTTTTGGTATATATTTTGTCCAGACATACACTTTAGGGTGCCCATATAGAATTTAGAAGGTGGTCAGACGTGCTTACGACTAGGAAAACAATTGCATCCAAAAGAGATTTGCCAAGCAGTCTAGTCAGCCTTTTCCCCATAGGACACTTCTCCAGCTTTGTCTGATCCCATAAACATGAGATTGTTGGCTGATTTGGCCATTTTTATCTCAGGTTTATAAATATCTTAAAGTGGAAGTAAAGTCAATGAAATGTAAATATTGCTGGGAGTTGGGGATTTTTGGCAGAAGAAACATGCAAAGTCTAATACCATAAAATAGTCTTCCTCCCTTCCCCAGTGTTTGTTTTTTTGTTTTTTTAATCTTCTGTATACACTGTATGGTGCATGTGCAGTTCAGTATGCACACACACTGCTTTCATGGTATTTCTAAGATGCCGTGAATGGGCCAGGTGCCAGATGCACCTCCCTGTGTGCATGTGCAGGAGTTACCTCAACTCTGAAAAGGACCTCTGAGAACCTGAAAATGGCAGGGGACAGAGCTGAGGACTGAAGATTGATCTGACAGTGCTGGAGAAGGGCACACCTGTAAGGCAAGTGTGCCCTAATGTATCTACTGTGCATACTTGCACATTAGGTCCAAAACAGAACATTTACAAAGTAGTACTTCCACTTTAGGAGGCAACAGAAGACCTCTTTCTCAGACAAAACCTTGACCTGTTTCTATCACTTAATTGTTTTGTAAGACTTATGGCAGATATATACATGCCTGTTGTTTGCATTACTTTGTTTACTTACATATATTTGTTCACTTACAGCTCCCCCTGTGGTAGACGGTGGGTCTCCGGTCACCTGTTACAGTCTGGAGATGTGTACGTGTGAAGGTGACCAAAGGGAGGTGTACCAAGGAAGTGAACTAGAGCACACTGTGTGTGGCCTTCTTCCAGGAAAAATATACAGCTTCCGGTTACGTGCAGCTAACAAAGCTGGGGTAATCCATTGTTTACCCTCGTTTTATATCACTTATATTATTACTTTCTGCTGCCAGTACAGTGAATGTGACTGCTCTGCTTTTAAAACTCAGCTGTCATTGCAGTTTATTGTACATAAGATGGCTGCAAGTGATATTGGTTTTTACTAGGGATGCACCGATACTAGTATTGGTATCAGTGCCAAGTATTTGGGCGAGTACTCGTAATCGCCCAAATGCTCCGATGCCTAGCCCGATACATGAGCTGCCACTATCAGGAAGCCGGCACCGAGTCATTGCACACTGGGAGGGAGCATGGAACCTGCTTCCCAGCCAATCGGGAAGCCGGGCAGCGTGTAAGAACTTGCTGCTCGGCTTCCTGATTGGTCTGGAAGCTGGCCAATCAGGAAGCCAGGCGCTGTATAATGACGAGGCACCCGGCTTTCTGATTGGCCGGAAAACCGGCTTCATGCTTCCTCGTCGCCTTGTGACGATGGAGCCGGCTTCCCGGCCAATCAGGGAGCAAGCTCCATGGTTTGGAGCATGGAGACGGCTTCCATGCTAATCGGGAAGCCGGGTGGGTGAGTCTTTACACGCCGCCCGGCTTATCAGGAAGACAGGTGGCGAGTCATTACACGCCGCCTGGCTTCCTTAATGGGACTTCGGGTATTCGGTATCGGCGAGTACGGAAAAAAAAATATTGGTACTCTTACTCAAATAGCGAAAAAACGGTATCGGTGCATCCCTAGTTTTTACATTTGTAAAGCTAGCTGATAATTATACTTGCGGGTCAACCTTTCACAGGATGAATGTAATTCTATATCTATAGTAAGTTTACATAATGGCAATACAAATAGATTTCTATTATTTTCCTTAGTTTGGACCATTTTCAGAAAAGTGTGAAATTACAACAGCACCAGGACCACCCGAACAGTGCCGACCTCCTCAGATATCCTGCAAATCTGCAACATGTGCTCTCGTACACTGGGAGGTAAACTGATATTATTATGCAGTTGAGAGATTAAAGGGAAACGATTTTTGGGGGATGGTGTTACTTAATGTTTTGTTAGTTTTTTAAAGTTATATATATATATATCTATATACATCTATATACAGTATATATATATCTATATTGTGGCAGCAGGCGGATGGGGATGTCTGGGTATAGCCAGGATGACAGATTTGTATGGCCCAGTTTCAGGCGGGCTGAGCTCCTTCCTCTAGGGGGAGGTGTTGAGAGTGTTGAAGGCCTATAGGTAACCAGCCCAGCTGAAGACAGCTGGCTCTTTATCGCTTCTCGGCCTTTTGGCTAAGATCAAGTCTCGTATCTGTTCTTATCAGTTTCCGGTGGGTAAAAGAACCGTCCTTTCGGGGGGATGGTTACTTAGTACTCGCTGGAGTGAAGGTTCGTGCCGGGCTGCTTCTTGTGAGAGGGGGGACAGCCTGGTATACGGCCTCCTGATAGAACGGGTGCTTGCTTGGTCTGGCCGGAGGGTTCGGGGGCAGCAGAGGCCTGTGGTGCTGTGCTCCCTGGAGGTGGCGTTCCAGGTGTGCCAGAGAATCACACTGGGTGTGGGATCCCAGCACTGATTCACTGACACAAGGTGACAGCACTTCTTGCATTTTCTGCACAACGCCTTTTGGACAGGGCTTATGGCTAGTCCGGGGCAATATTTTTGCACTCCGGCCCCTAAGGCCTGTCAGCATGGTGTACTGGCACTTTAGATTTACTTATTGCACTAGATGCACGATTGGCACGCTTTTTTTTTTAATTGACCCACAGATGCGGAGGGTGCGGGTACCTTCGGGGCCCATTCCTGATGTGGGGGAGGAGATTCTGTGCCCTCATATAGGGTTCCCTGTCTCCTCCCACTTGTGGGGGGTCTCTCTTCGGGAGAGCCCTCCAACCTAGTACTTGTGGGACCTGTGCCCAAAGGAACGTGGTCCGACGGCCTTCGGGTAGGTGGACCACAGTATTCCTAGCCCCTGTCAGGAGCCTTGCGTCCCGGGGGGTCGGGAAATTGTGGCCCCTTCCTTTCGGAGAAGGAGCAAGCACCCTTGTGCACTTTTTTCAGTGTTGTGATTTCACAATTCACTTTTTTTGTTCACAGGGGATTCGTTTTCGAGCACGCTCCACGGGCTTAAAAGAAAAAAATCCATTAACACAAATGTGTCTCAGGTGTAGATCCTCAAATCATCTCTGAATTTGTTCCCCATGGTCCCTGTCTGGTTTGTAAAGTAGTCACCGCTCCAAGCTCACTCCTGTGATGGACTACAATCTCAATACAAATGAGTAAACTAAACATAAGATTGTAGTCCATCACAGGAGTGAGCTTGGAGCGGTGACTACTTTACAACACACACAGGGGCCATGGGGAACAAAAGTAGCCACCCTCCAGAAGGAAGGACAGTGTCAGCACCAATTCAGAGATGATTTGAGGATCTGCAGCCGAGTGATACACAAATAAGATACATTTTTGTAAATAGTAGAGGTACATGAATACATTTTTAAGATTTAACTCCTGAGTTTAGTGTCACTTTAATGAAAGAATTTAGTTCTTCAGAGCTGGGCTGCAGCAGAGGGGGTATTGCTGGCCTACATAGTAGTGAACTTAGGTTTGAGGTTTAGTACTATGTGTATTCTGAATGTGTAACTCTCCAAAATTATTATGTTACAGTAAAAATTCCGATAAGAAGTTAAAATATTTACTAACTTAAAATAAGACTTTATGTATATAATATATGTGCTGCTCTTTCCTTCAAACAGGCTCCAAACAATAATGGTGCGGAAATTACAGAGTACCGGGTGGAGTGGGGAGGAATGGAAGGTTGTATGCAGATTTGCTACTGTGGACCTGGCTTCTCTTATGAAGTGAAAGGCCTTTCACCAGCAATCGTCTACTACTGCAGGGTTCAGGCAAGTTCACATTTATTTCTTATAGATGCTTTTTTCAAAATTTTGTGTAAGTAGCAGCAAAGCAGAGATGATGCCAATCATCCACTCATGTGTCTGCTTGTGCTTGAAGTCTTGTCCACAGGCATAGCATTAAGGTGGTCTTCAAAGTAGGCCTGTCAGTGACTTTACTATGATCCACAAGCCTCATAAAGTTAAACAAAAACGTATGTCTTCCCTTTCTGAACGAAAGCCTCCCTAATGTGTGTCTCATTCACTCCCTTTTCCAGACACCAGCTCACAGTGGGAGGGTTTCAGCAACAGAGGCAGTGCTGTTAGTCCAGAAAGCAGTGGTCAGGTGCTATTGTCACTGCTGATTCACATGCCTAGAGCTTGTCAATGTTTTTAGCCACACTCTTCAACTTGTTTTCATCCCATTGTAGTGTAAGCAGGCACAGCCTACATGAGAGCGGCAACTACGCTCTGAATTCAGGAGCCGTGCAGCATCATTGCCACATTATTGCTGGAAGTTACCTGCAACTCACTGGCAGGATTAACGGGAAATCGGTAAAGGCAGATACATTCAGAATTAAGTGCTGCCACACATTTTTTTAATGGGAGGTCATAGTTCTACTTTAACTATCTGTTCAGTTTAGTAGTTGCTCAGAAATGCAAGGGGAAGTGATCCATGGCTAACTGCATTCTTCCTGCTCTCCTAGATACGTTTGTAATGCAAATAAGCTACTTGCAGTGTTGCAGTAAAATTTTAGAAAACCCCCCTATATGTTTGTGTTCCCACTCACACAGCATACCTAAAAATACATTCTAAAAAATATTTTTTACCTTTCTAGGTGTTTTGATTGGCGCATGATTATACATACATGTATTTCCTGTAATCATTGGTGAATTTTTCTCTCTTCCCAATTGCAGGCTGTAAACATTGCTGGTGCAGGCATTTTTAGTGATGTTGTGGCCTGCATGACTCCCGCCTCTGTACCAGCTGCTGTGACCAATCTCTGGGGAATGAAGGAAGACGAAATAGACAGTCCCCATTACTCTCCTTCCACCTGCCTTGCTATACAGTGGGAGAGACCATGTGACCACGGTTCTGAGATTACTGGCTACAGTATAGACTGCGGAGACAAGCAGACTATATCAGTTGGGAAGACAGCTAGCTACATTCTAGAAAACTTACAGCCAGATACCATGTACAGGTAAACTACCACGTAAAGCTGTCTAATCCACAACAATGCGTGTTTTACTATAGGTATGACCTCCGTCTCAGTGGAGGTCGGACTATGAAGATGGAGGTTTGTTGGTAAAATGTCTAACTGCTTACTTCTGTGACTTCAGTTGGGTTTGTAGGACTTCAGGCAATGCCTGTTTTAAATACAAGCGGTCCAGCAGCTATAGAGCCGCCCAATCACTTGTATTTTGCATGCGGGTGTGCCCGTTAGCCCCCTATGTGATAGCAATAAAGTGAAGTGTAAAAAAAAAAAAAGTTTATAAAATTAAAGTAGCATTAAAAAAAATTAAATCGCATATACATTTTTTTTTTTTAAAACACACAAAAAAATGTAGCAGCTTCCCACTCCCACATACACACACAAACATGCGTAGGGTGTGCCTACGTGTGAAAATTACGATTGCGCCGCACATGTTACATATCACCGCGAACATCAGAGCACAAGCAATAATTTTAGGGCCACCAATCACTGTTAACACTAAACTGATGAGCGGTGAAAGCTTGTAGAGCATCGCCTATAGCCAATTTGGGTAGTTTTTTGTGATTTTGCGAGCGCACGCAATTTTAAAGCTTGACATGTTTGGTGCCTACTTACCCGATGTGACCCCGTCTTTTATATTTTACCAAACGTTTTGGTAATAATAAATGTTTTATAACCTAACATATGGAAAAGGTTGATTTTTTTTCAAAATGTTCGGTACTTTTTTCATTTTATAGTAAAAAATAAAAACCCCAGTGGTGATTAAATACCACCAAAGGAAAGCTCTATGTGTCCCCAAAAATGGTATAAAATTAATTTCAGTACAGCGTTGCATGACGGAATAAACGTCAAAGTACCTCAGCGCTGAATACTGAAAAATGGCCTGGACTTTAAGGGGGTTTAACACCCCGGTCAGCAAGTGGTTAATAAGGCTGAAATGTCAACATTAGGGGGTGTGGCTTCCTGCAGAATTTGGGGTGTTGGATGTGTTTTCATCAAGCTATGGTTATGGGATAGCATCTCCCACAGTGCAATGTGTATATTGTAGACCATATATGTTAATAAGTAGGCAGATTTTAAGTAGAGACTCTTCTTGTAAATGTATTGAACAAAACGTGGTGCTCTCTACCCTCAAATCTTAGCAATGTCTGTAAAGCATCTGTTAAATTATTCCTTTTATGTAGACAAAGGACATAAAATTACTGCTGTAGATGAAGGATTCAGCTGTCCAGGCACTCTCTTCTTTTTGCTGTCTACATGTTTACACGGTTAGAATTCGGGGCAAACGTTCATACAAAGAATCGCATCAGAACATCAGATAATGTAATCAGAGAATTGAGGAATATCGTTCGAAATTTCGTTTAGTTTTAACATTTGATTTTTTGGAATGAATGGAGTTTCTCAAACCACTTTCACTGTTAGAATTTCATTTTCCATCCTGCTCCTTCGATGTTTTTCATCACTACGGCCGAAAACAATTGTCGATTTGACCCCATGAATTATTAGAAAATTGAATAATTGTTCTGAAAACTACACTTTTGAATGTAATTCTAACCATGTATACCCAACTTTATTCATTCCTTAGCACATCAAGATTGCCTTTTCTGGCTAGCAAAAGCCAAGGTATCACTGTCTCGTCGCTGTCCACTTTTCTTCTGTAGTGTCAGATTGCAGGATTGTGAATTGAAGGTTGCCTAACTGGCTGCTGATGAGCTCTATGCATTCTCACACACTGGAGAAGACCGGTATTCAGTTTTAAGCCATCACAGTATTGATACCCCTTAGTAAGCCCTGATAAAGGGGGTCTTGTATGAGCCCTCAAAACGCATCAGCTACTTCCATACTGTCTCTTCAATCCTACTTTAAATAAAGATGTATTTAGACTATTAAACAGACGGTGGCACTTAATTTCAACATTCTGCTATATGAAAGTACAAATCAAAGAGACAGCCGAGATCCTCTGGAATGTGGAAGCTGCCTGTCCAGTAGCCAGATCACATCTTAATTGGTCAGCAACACCAATAGGATAAACCTTGCCGGCCCAGCATATTTATTCCACTTCTTTCAAGTGTGCAAATCTTCTGTACTCATGTTTTCTTATCTCTTTTCTTTCCAGAATACGGGTTCAGGCCCTAAACAGTCTGGGAGCTGGTCCTTTCAGCCACTCTGTTAAATTGAAAACCAAACCCCTTCCGCCAGAGCCACCCCGCCTGGAATGTGCTGTTTACAGTCACCAGAACCTTAAACTGAAATGGGGAGATGGGACATCCAGATCTCTACCAACAGACTCCATTCAGTACCACCTCCAGATGGAAGACAAGACTGAGAGGTACCACCATACTGGCAATTTTGTAATAAATATGTTAACCAACCAAAGCTCTTGGGAGATATAGTTTTATTTGCATTTTGCATTATGTGATCTGATATTTTGTTCACACCCACCATTTGCCTCATGTTCAGTCATTTTACCTGGAGATGTGGAGGAAGTGGAGACACTAGTGTACCAAAAATATGTCTGTGGTCTAAAAGTATATGGGAAAGTGTTCCATACACACAGCTGTTTATATTGTTCCTCCATGGTTATATGTATAGCAATACATTACATTTTAATGTGATGCATATAAGGGAAGTTGTTAGCAAGAGTTGAATGTCATGCTACTGAGTTATTTAAAATGTCAGATGAACTCTTAATGCCCCAGAGGCCTGTTCTGCCTGATTTAATGTCTCACTTATAGATTGCAGCAGCTGGTTTGCATTATAAGGATTCCTCTTTCAGTTCTATATATTACATTTTTTTTCTTTGGTTCTGGTTAATTTTCCGATTTCCAACCCCCCAGATTTTGTACACAACCAGGACCACTCCAGTAAATTTAAAAGGTTATTTGCTTGGGCCAACTATGTATTTATGTACTTGGAAATGGTTCAGGAGGGCTTTATTTTCAACATGAAGCTACAATACAGAACATGGCAACCTCACAGTAGCAGGAGGAAAATTCAAAACTAGTCTTAGGGCTTGTTCACACGATTTTCTGGTCCAGATCTCGACCAGATCTGTATATGCTGTTAGCTGCAGTGCAGTGCATTTGCGTTTTTGATGCGTGTGTGACATGTAGTATTTTTTCTGTCCGGACCGGAACGGACTGCAGAACTGAGAACTGTAGCCCATAAAACACATAGGGATACATTGGGATGCATTTTGGGTGCATGAGCGCACGGATCTGGTCCGGACAGAATCCGGACGTCGTCTGAACAAGCCCATAGGAAGTATTTTTTACAGTAGTAGTCGATGCTTGGAACAGACTTCCAGCAGAGGTAGTGCGTTAGTCAACAGTAAGTGAATTTAAACATTTTTGGGGCAAACATTTTTAGATTGTAAGCCCTCAGGGGCAGGGCCCTCCTTACCATCTTGTCTTGAATTGTATTGTAATGTCTTCCTTACATTGTAAAGCACTGCGGAAACTGTTGGCGCTATATAAATACTATGTAATAATAACATAGATTGATACTTAGTCATTTCGTAATTTTCTGGGGGGGGGGTTTAACATTTTTTTTTCTAATTCAGGGGACCACTTCTGCGATCACTCTGAAATTTGAACTGTACTAAAATATTTTCCTTTTCTTATAAGAAAAGAGTTGCTGTACATACCTTATACATTAGACAAAGGCATTTTAAAACTACCGAAAACACAAAAAAATCTATACATTCCCAAAAAAGAAATGCAATACAGCACTGGCCGACCCTGTTTTTTATTTTCTTGTAACCGGTTTAACTCTGGGAGACCCTGTTGTGAAAACTAAACAGCAAAAACCCTGTTACCTGTTAGAGAGAAAAATAATGTTGCTGCTGAACACCACTCATGGATGAGAAATTCTTGGCTGAAGTCTTTTTCTGAAACTGGGGAGAAGGGTCGTTCTGTTCCTGTGCAGTGCTCAGTGGTTCCTCCCTCTAACCTCCAAATCACTACAGCACTGAGCACTGCCACGGACTAGAATATTTTTTATGACTGGTATTTAGATAGCGCCGACAATTTACACAGCACTTTGCAGAGTGCACATTCACATCAGTAGAGAATAACACTTTGGGGGAGTGTCTGTTTCATAAGAAAACTTCAACCAGGGAGTTCTCATCAACAGAGCAAGGTTTGGCAGCACAGGCAGAGTTTTTGGAACAGGGTCACTTTAAGACTTATTACAGGGCCCTCATGAAACTTATTTAGGAACAACATTTTGCTTTAAACAATTTTGGGGAGGACAGCGTCTTAACATCGATCACTTGAAAATACTAAAAGTGCATCGATGAAAAGCAGGCTCCTAGAGGTACCTGCTTACATACTTGTAGAATGCTCCAGTAGCCCCAAAGCCTAGGTGACATATGTAGATAGCAACTTTAGGAAATAAATTTGGGCTTGGTCCCACTTCCTACTTCCCACTCTTACTTATTGGCCCATAAAGGCACTTATCTTACCTATATACAAATAGGGAGCAGGAGACAAAAAGGGTTTGTGCCTAGACTTCATTTCCTTAGTCTTTATTTGCATGTCAGATCTTTTGAGCTTTGTGGCTGCAAAATATAAGACATGCGAGTACACATGTACCTACCTTTTAAATGTCTGCATACCGCCACTGATGCACTTTTATGGTTACCGGAGGACAATTTAAGAAAGTTTATGTATGTATATGTGACTTCATATTGATAAACCAATACAAAAATGTGTTTTAATCTCTGTTGCAGGTTTATATCCTTATACAGAGGTCCATGTCATACGTACAAAGTACAAAGACTAAATGAGTCCACATCCTATATGTTTCGTATTCAGGCATGCAATGAGGCTGGTGAAGGACCCTTTTCTCCTGAATATGTTTTCACAACTCCAAAATCTATTCCCCCTGCCTTGAAAGGTAAGTGTGCTAATGTACAAAGCATACTAGTGGCAAATGTTAGCTTTAAATAGCAACTTCACTGAAAATGCACTTCTGAACTCCAGCTCTTTCTTCAGTCTTGCGCCGTTGTACCAGCTCCTCTCCTGGACTGAAATAGCTTACTCTAATTTCACTGCACACTGTGAGTTTCTTACAGTATGCATTATAATCTGCAGCAAGTCAGATAGAGCCTTCACCTCATTTTTGGCTGTAGAAGGTCCAGCATCATCTAGCACTTTCCTTCCCAGTCTAACAGTCCCTGGACCACCTCTTTCATTCATTGGATTTCAGTAGAAAAAAAAAAGGCTCAGCATCAAATGTGGATGTTACTAGGGTGGTCTGCAAGGCAAATGTAGTCCGCCTAGAAACGCACTCCTCCAGACTGGCATCCACCCATCAAGGCATTTTAAAATTTGTTGAAATCCTCCCAAGAGCCAGCCCACTGCTTTTATTAGGGCTGATGGGTACTGAGGCAGGGTGCACCCTGCTGGCCTCTCCAACCAATCCATGATCTGCTTTCATTGCATATATAAGCAGAGAGAGACCCACTGATGGGATTACTGGGTCTAAAGTAAGGTATTTATTGAAAACACCAAGATTTTATTTAAAAATGTCATTACCATGTTTATGGGGGAAAAAAGGAGGAGCCGGGTAAAACAAAATATAAGTAGATTAAAGTTCCTCTTTAAAACAAAGAAATCCTTGAATTTTCTAAGTCACAGCAGCAAATGCAACTACAGTCTAGCTTCGTGTTATCATTCACACATTGTTCATCCAGCAGAGGGTGCAGATTACAAGATATAGTGATATGAAAGTATAGAATATTCAGGTTTCCCTTAAATGTTTAAAATTAAAACGGATTGTAATTCTTCTTTAATTTCTACAAGCACCACGGATAGAGCGAATAAATGAGCATACCTGTGAAGTCACATGGGAGTCTTTGCCTCCAATGAAGGGTGATCCTGTGATCTACATTCTGCAAATGATGACCGGAAAGGACTCTGACTTCAAACAGGTGGGAATCACATTTTCTGGTTACATAGTTATGCACACGCCATGGTACAGTTAAACGTTTTGGCAGTTCATCCTTCCTGACAGCAACAGCCTGAGCAAGTGATGATCTTCCCTACCAGTTTGAACACAAAAGCAATGAGACTGCAAAGCCTTTAATCTGTAGCCCCAGTAGGTAGGTAGGACCTCTCTTGTGGGTGCTGTTATGGAGGACTGCTGAAAAACAGATTACCAAAAAGTTCAATTACAGACTTCTCTCCTAAAATATACAAGGTATTACTTTTTTAAGAACGTTATAGTTTCCAAGTAGCTTTTTTTTTTACCTCAAAGGTATGCTTGGGAGACTGTAAACTTGTATAGCTTTAAAAACAATGGGTTCCATGTGAAGACAAATCTGTAAGAAGTCTTTAGTTTTTAAGGGAGTAGCTGGCGGGCTCCAATCAAATGTGATTACATTCTGCATGCTCCAGACTTGGACTTTCATATTTTTTATACTGATGCACATTTCAATGAAGGAACATGGTGACCCTATCAAGGCTCCATCTTATATTCTATATTTAAGGTAGTTTCTTTTTTTTCCAAGGGATATTTGGGTGTTCATTGGAAGTTGTAATAAAACTAACATATGTCTTCTAGTAAAGCTGCAATGCTAGATGCATCAAACATCATTATATGAAACAGTGGAACATTAGTCTTCTCAGCTAATCCCTCTTAATGAGTCTAGAGTTAAAATTAGAATTTGGGTACTGTGCCCCACCATGCTGCTCCCTAAAGCCAGTGAAAGCCCCCATATACATAGCCACAAGCTGAAGCTATCTTCCTCCAGTTTTTATCACCCCTATGCAGGGCCGTCTTTAACGCGGGGCAAAAGGGGCAGTTGCCCGGGGCCCAGTCATTATTGTGGGGCCCAAAGCAGCTGCCCCTTGAGCACGCAGAAACTTGCCGATCGCATAGTAAAATACGTTATGGGATAGGGCACTGCCATAATGTATTTTTCTATGCGATCGGCGCCATCGCATAGTACAGTCTGTACTACATTTCCGTGTGGCTCCTCCCCTTCCCGCATAGCGTGACATGATAGGTCTCACGCAAGCTCGCAAGTGGACGTCCCGTGGCGATATGGCCGCTCCTTCCGGGTGTCTCACACACGTCTATGAGTGTCAGACGTGAAATCCGGAAAGTTCTGAATGAGGCAGAGACTGGCACAAGGCTGAGTCAGGTGAGAGCTGGGCACTTTGTGGCACTGGCAGGCCAGGCAGTAATAATTAAATCATTAACCAGCTTGGGCAAGGGCAATAATTTATAAATAGTATATTTTTTTAAAAAATAATATAATAGGACTGTGGAGGATGTGGTTTTTTTTCTGATGCCTGCAGCTGCTGGGCTACCCGCTACACCACCAGGGCAAAGGAAGAGCAAATAATTGTACATTAATTCATTAATGTAAATAAATATATAAATTAATTTACTGCTGGGCTAATAATTTTAAAAAATATATAAAATAAATACATTGGTTTAGTAGTATTAATATAGATTTCCCTTTTCTGTTTATTATAGGTGTGTATTAAGAATAATAAATATAAATAAATGCTCTGGAAGGAAATAAAATAAATTGGTTTAGTAATATTAAATAATGTCATTTTTTTGAGTGTGTACATAATTATAATTTTTTTTATAATATTCACTTTTATTTTAAACACCTTTTAATATGCATTGTATTGCTGTGAAGCTCTTGGTTTTTTTTTTTGGGGGGGGGGGTGGATTTTGGGGAGGTGAGAGAAATTTTGCAGGGGGGGCAAGAAAAAGTTTGCCCAGGGTCCAATCAGTATTATAGACGGCCCTGCCCCTATGTTTTCCCACTTCTGTGTATGGCCATGGTCAGGCCAGGTCTATGTGAAGTACAAACTGGCTGCTCATACAAGGGGTTAGTTTATATAGACTGACATTTGGGTTCTGAAATTAGTGTAGAAAGGAAAATAGAGTAGTCACATTAGAAATAACTAAAAATTGAAATCGGAGTTTAGAGTAGACGTCTTTCAAAAATCATTCTAATGCTTTGTGTCCTTTAATCAGATATCACTTAGTGGTCAGAGCCATGGCAGTAGTTAAAGTTAACTTAAAGGAATTACAGTGGCTGACCAATTCCTGAAAATGTTAGATACTTTGCTGTTACCCCAAACAACTTGCTTCAGGACTTTGAGTCACTGGCCCAGAACACATATGCAGAGTGAGGTTAGAAGTCCTTATCTGAATATTTGATTTTTATAATTTCATTAAAGTTTTGAAGGCATAAGGTCAGAATGACTACCAGGCACCTAGCATTTTCATAGGATATAGGGTCAGCAATTGCAGCCTCTGTTTCTCTCCTGAGTGGTCTCCTCCTATACATGCCATACACCTGCTTTCTTTTATTATAGGGAATTATTATAGGGAAAAATTGTGTGTGTGTGTATAGGTCATCTTAATTCGTTTATCTAATAATTCAGACTTTATTATCAGATAGAGGACAGAAAGCTGTTGAAGGAACATATGGATTTTTCTTTATTAGATTTAACATTTTACAAAAGATCACACTGCTAACTCTATTAATGTAACAAAGAAAACAAGGCTATATTACATTTTGAAATAAGACTTCCTGCACAGCTAATCATATTAATTTGAGCTTCACATGCAAGAAATTAAATAGCTAACCCACCTAATGAGGACATGAAGATGAAGAAAAGGTACACAAAAGTAATTTGCAGCATTGAGATATATTAACTTAACAGGATGACCCACGGAACTGAAGATAGAAGATTACTGAAGATTAAAGAGGAGATCACACAGAAAACTGTACCGTGCCTTCTACTGCAAGCACCTTCAGGAAATTGTCCATAGTAGAATATAGTCTGGGACTTTTGGTTTACTTGCAAAGATGTGACTGACTTCCATGCCTAGCACACAGGGGCTTCCCGAGGCTGGGTGGCACCCAGAGTGGAGACCGTGACGTCATCGCGCATGCATGTGACGTTGCCGAGCACGTGCGCGATTACGTCTTATTGACGCCTGTCGGCGGCCATCTTAGGGATGGACACCGGCAGAGAGAGGAGGGGACGTTCACCCGGCGAGATGAGGTATGCAGCCGGGTCCCCTCCTCTCTCCTGACACTGTCGAGCTCTCGGTCCGTGACCGAGTGCCCAACTTTTCATGGGGGGTGACACCAAAATGACTGTCAGTCAGTGTGGCACACCCTCCAAAAGTGGCACCCGGGTGCAGGCCGCACCCCCCTTGTGACGCCACTGCTAGCACAAAGTGCGTTTATACATGGGCAATGTGTACATTACAGAAAACATTTATTCTGTTCCTTTTGTAGCGTGGTGTAACAACTGAACTCTAGGAGCTGTGGACACAAAAAAGACTGGTAGAAGCCAAAGGACTAGTCACCAGAACTGATCTTCCCCCATCATGGACTTATCATGCAGTGTTCTGCACTGTGTTTCTCTGTGATGGTGATGGCCATCTTGGTAGGGGCTTTGCTTCATCATGTCAGAGCCCAATGAGTGACATCACCAAATCTCAGTCCATTACTCCTTAGACAAGCAGTCGGGGGCAGCAGTGTCTTAGATCTCACACTGCAGATATACAGCTATGAGACTGTAAGCCCATGAGTGCCTCAACACATACCAGAATGTACACCGCTATTTTTCAGGAAGAATTTTAGAAAAAGTAAATTTGTTTAGGGTACTGCTTAGGCACAATTACTATTTCTAAATGTTCCCTATAACAAAGCATATTTTCACTTTCTTAGGGAATAGTCTGTCTGTGACCTGAAGAATAATGGACATGGAGTGATCCTTTCTGTTGTGAACCCACCACCAACCCACCACCATGTATGTTGTGTTTGGCATCAAAGCTGTTCACATCTATGCAAGACAAGCAAAGTGAATATATTGCTTTTGGAATGGCAGATACAGACACTTTGCTGTTGCAATTCCCAAGGCAATGTGGGAAAACAGCCTAGTTTTGCCATGTTCACCCTAAAAGAACCACTGTAGTGAAAAATATTTTATTTTGGTCATTCAGATCACACTCTACCTGTCAAGTATCAGGTCCCCCTAATCTATTGCAAATTTTGTATTTCTGTTGATATCCTGTAGTTTTCTGGCTCCATGTGTGGAGGCCTTTATTATGTCTTCAGTATCTGCCTTTCACGTGTGTCCATTTTATTTTTTCTCCAAGGCATACAAGGGACCCAATACATCTTACCGATACTGTACCCTGCATTTGAACTGTGAATACCGATTCCGTGTATGTGCCATTCGCCAGTGCCAAGATGCTGCCGGACCACAGGACTTAACTGGTCCCTACAGTGCCACAGTCCTCTTCATTTCCCACAAGAACGAGTCCCAGTCCAACACCAGCAAAGACATTGCTGAACCCACAAGGACAACAAGGACGCTCAGCGACGAGCAGTGCGCTGCCGTCATCCTCGTGCTTTTTGCTACTTTCTCCATCCTGATTGCCTTCATCATCCAGTACTTTGTCATAAAGTGAAGTTCATCCACCTTGCATCACGTACATTATTTTTTTACTGTACATCTTATAAGGAAAAATAGTTTTGTTTTGTTTTTTTCTGAGTTCTTTTATGAAAACACGGTGGCATCTAGCACAATGTCCAGACTTACCGTAGCATGTCATGTTGTCTCCTCTGTCTGCCACAGTGCTTCTACCACCATATATGATCCTAAGTCATGAAGGCACTAGCCAGACAGACCTTGGCTCTTACTAAACGCCATCCAGTGTGATGTTTACACACGTCCAGCGATTTTCACTTTCCCAGTTAAGATTTGTTTTGTGCAAGGATGAGCTATATATATATATAATATATATAGGTCACCTCAAGTGCTGCAAACAAAGAAAACGTTTAAGGGGGTGTTAGGAAAGTGATACTGGCATTGTACTTCTACCTCCTCTTTGTCTTAATTCTACCCTGCTGCCGCCTGGCACGTTGCCACTTCTAAGAGGTAGCAGGGTATCTGCTAATCTGAATACAATGATTTTTTTTTGGAGGTTTAACTCAGGCAGTAAATAAAACTGGAATTCTAGATTATTATGCCAGATCCATAAACAAAAAAACAATAGATAAACTATAGATAAATATGCTTTAAATCATGTGGA